ATATATATATATATATATATATATATATATATATATATATATAGAAAGATAGATATTATAATTAGTTTTATACAGATTATATAATTTTTTGATGAAAAATATTTAACTAAGCATTTTTAACAAAGAGTGTCAATTGATATCACTTTATCAGAAATTACATTGTATAATTTGATAAAAATATTCTTTTACGTGTATATATCATATATTGACTTTTTCTTAATTTTTATGCAATTTTACTTTTTTTTTATATATATATTTTAACACTTTTTAATCGAAATGGTGACTCCACTATGCTTTCCGGTGTACCCCTTTGTTCTTCACACCTGCAATCATTAGCGGGCAAAGTTATCCCATGGATTGAGATACTCCGTGAAATTAATTATTCCATTATGTAAGTTATCTTATCAGTCATTATTATAGTATAAATGGTGAATAAACAATCACGAGACTAACATATATAACCAAATATAAAATAAAATAATCTTACAGTTTATGTCGAAATTATTATTTCTTATCTATGTTCATCAAACTACTTGTTAGAGTACTATTTTTCTTTTCATTTCATTTACTATTTCATAAATCAAAGTGTCTTTCCATATTGAATTCATTTCTTTTGCTTAAATGTAACTTTTTCATAGAGATCACATGGAAAGAACAATAATATTGGTCCACTATATACTATGCAGAAATATAACTCTTTCTTGTTATTTTTTTTTAGTTGTTACAATGCCTGTCCTTAACTAACTTTACAGTCTGCCACAAATGGTATATTTGCTGACAATACTCCCTCATTTCCATTTTTATTCTAACTATACATTATTTACCAAAACACAACTTTAATAATATTCTTGTTTTATATATTCATATTTCTATCTTTAGGGATTGAGGTAGTAGGTACCTTCAAGTGGTTAAGTTAATATATGAGTGATATATATTAACAGAGGCGGAACTAAGAATATTATTAGTCAAGGTATTGTACGTTTGACTTCTTACAAAAGAAAATATCAATCGTGAAGAGACATCACGATTATCCTTTCTGACTTTAGATGATTTTGATCGTTATAAGTTGGGGGTGGGGGGTTTCACATTTCACCCTACCATGTCACACAGGTTAAATTATTGGAATAATATAAAGGCAAAAAAACCTTAAGGAAGAAGCAGTCTATAAAGGGGGAAAAAAGCATGAAAATGTGTTAGCTCACTCTTTTTGACAGATATGTCCAACTTTTTAATTTGGATTTGTAAAGAAGAATCTCACTTATCTTATAATTTTGTAACTTTATTCTTGTATATATGTCACCACTTTTCTTTTTTTTTCCTTTTTCATTTTACTTGAAATATTTAAATATTTTACAATTTGTTTTACTTGGGATAATTGGTTGGTATGATTTGGTCAAGCATGTACTAAGATATTCTTAAATTATATATAATTACAAACTTAATTATAGGGCTTACTCTTTCTTCTTATAGTGGAGACCATTTTCTTCTTCACTGTTCCAAGATCCAAAATTATATCATACAATTATTTATGGTTGCGATTAAATGATCGCGATAATTTTTTTAACTGAAAAGAAAGTGAAATTGAAAAAATATAAACTATTTTTATGATAAAAATTACATAAAAATTTTTTTTTTTCCATTTAGATTTTAGCACCTATCTCTTATATGTGGAGCCATCTTGGTGGGTGATCAATGCACCTAAATCAAATTATTTTCGCATGCTAATCAATTGATTACTCGTGCTAAATTATTTTATTAACATGACATTAGTCATTAAAGATGGTTAACTTTTCAACTAAAAATGGCAAAATTATTATTTGAAAGATGGTAAACAAATAGGGAGTTGATTCAACTTGTCGGTCCTATCATTGGTTTCGAGCCAGAATAAAAGAAGATATTATGGATTAAGTGTCAATTCGGTCCTATCATTGGTTTCGAGCCAAATAAAAGAGGATATTGTGGATCGAGTGTCAATTCGGTCCTATCATCGATTTCGAGCCAGAATAAAAGAGGATATTGTGGATCGAGTGTCAATTGAAAAAACACTTTCTTTTTATAAAGATACGAAGAATAGCATAAACAGATTTTAAATTTCAAGAAGACATGTGCACTATTAATTTAATGAAAAATGAGATATGAATCACGACCCTCTAGATAAATAACTTAGCTTTCAATCAATCAACTCTCAACATTACTACACGAACTAAAATTAAATCACTATACGAATCAGAATTGAATCACTACATGAATCAGAACTCGAAACAATGAAAAAATAATATTTCGATATTTTCTTTTAGAGTTGACCCTACAGTATGTGCTCTATACACTCAATGTACTTTCATTATCAAGTAACTTAAATAAAGTCTCTAAATTTTTATTATTTTAGTATATATCTTTTACATATTTATTATTTAGAACAAGTTATATACTGAAAACAATGTGTAATAAATTTGACAAATGGAATTAAATATACTTTTTTTTATTTAATAAAAAGATTCTATTTGCCAGTATTCGCCGTTTGATAACCAGACAATATTGTTTCTTTGGGTTTACCTAATTATCTACAAATGATTTTTTTGTACCAAAAAAGATCTGTTTTTTATTATCTTTTCTAATAAAAAAAATTAAAATACGTCTTAACAAATATATATATTAACCAATGATAGGATTTTTCATTTATAGTTAATTAGCTAATTTAGATAAGTTATTTGGTGTTACATGAAATCCACTAGGATTACTAATCAAATGCAAGAGTCAACCCAAACAATAATCATTTGAAACCATAATTTTGCCCCAAAATGATCATCTTAGGTCAATACTTTTA